CGCCAGCACTCAGGGGCGCGGGGATTCCCCCGACCCCAGCAGGGGCGCGGCCAGCTGTTAGCGGAGTCCGCCCGCCTCGCCCGCACTGCTCCGGGAGACCCGCCCCGCCCCGCCCCGCCCCGCCCCGCGGGCACCGCGACCCGGCACCCGCACCTTGATGGGCTTGGTGTTGTTGGGCTCAAGGCACTGTCCGTGCATCTCCTCCATGGCCCTGCAGGCCTGCGAGCTGCGGGCGAACTTGATGAAGGCGATGCCCTTGGACTCCTTCGTGTGCTTGTCCCGCACCACCCAGATGTCCTGGATGTCGCCGAAGCGGGAGAAGCGCTCCCGCAGCACCGCCTCGGGCGTGTACTTGCTGATGACCAGGAAGATGCGGCTGTTGGGAGGCTCGTCCAGGCTGTCCACGCCCGGGCGGAAGCCGCTGACGCCGCCGCCCGCAGAGCTGCCGGCCTCGTCCATCGCGCCCCACCTCGGCGCGGGCGCCGGGCCCCGGCCCGCTCCCTCACAGAGTCGGCCTCGGTCTCAACCTACTCCTCTCACGTTCGCCTCTCTGCTTCCGGAAAGCCACAGAGTCAGGCGTCAGGCGCTGTCCCACCACAGGGGTGCTGGCTTCCGGCAGCAGCCTGCAGCGCCCCCTCGCGTAGCGGAGGACCAGCACTAAGACCGGGTCTCCCTGCTGAAGATAGGTTCAAATCAGCGTCAGTTTTTACAGTGCTTGTTCCCTGAGGTCAGAGCAGCCTGCCTGATCACAAGGCTTTCCAAGCAATGGCTTTGCCTCGCTATTATACTAAGCCCAAGGATTCTTCCCCAAAACTTTACAATGACACTCGTGAAAGATAGCCGACTTTATTGAAGTTGCTTGGGAGAAGGAGAGGCTTGGTGTTATGCATTGGCACCACTACAATAAGGTCTTGAAATGGAGACTATACTGACAGACTGGTCTCAATCCGACTTCCATAAAACAAGTCGGAATTCAATAAGGGAATTTATAATCAGGATCGGGAGGAGAGTCAGTGGATGGATAACTACTCAACATCAGGGGGAAGAAGAGTTCTTGCTAGATCTGCTTAACAACATTCTAACTGAAGATAATGCACAGTGATAAATTGCTAGTGAGGACTGTCATTAACCTGATTCAGCAGGACTCCTCAAATTGGATTCTACAAAAACAGAGAGTCCAAGATTGGATCTACTCAGACTGTACTATGTGTTGCGCACTATGCTATATCTAAGGGAGAAAGTGTTAAAACAGTCATTCTCCTCCTTTCACGGAGCTAATAGTGTAGTCTTCTATCATTAGGATCAAATGGAGCAGGTTAATTTAGGGATCAAATGAAATAATGTGTACAATGGCACAAAAAAAATTAATTTAATTGTTCCGTTGATTGTGGTGTCACCTCTCCTCCCCCCTTGATAATGTATAGTTGCTTGCTGATAAATAAGACTCAAGAAGTCTGAATTGTTATCCTGGATTTAGCAAAAACAAGATTATTATCATTTCTCTGTGCCGTAGCTGTATCATGAAGGTGCTGTTTATTGCAAAACTTAGTAAGTATAGGAAGTATCTTGGCTTAACTTTCGACTTCTCTTATCTAATCAAGATAAATGAAAATAACACTGTGATAATTTTTAATGTTAGTGCAAAGTTTCTGAGCATTACTATTTCCACACCAGTGCCATCTAGTGGAAAATTTATACTGTTTTTACACTGCTCTGACTGAGCTGTCTGTTTCTTGTAAAATTCAAGACTATTGACATGTGTCCTGAAAGTTTTAGGCTGATATTCAGAGCAGTTAGTTTTTCTCAAAAAAAATGGGGAATGCAAGGGAAGCAAAGTTTCTTCGTAAGTTAGACATGAAATGCCACATGTTTAAGAAAAATAAGAAATTTAGTTATAAATTACTAATATACAATAAGTGTATAGTTTTCATACTGCTAATTTATTTTCAATAGATATTTGAGATACAATTCCCAAGTCATACACCTGACCATTTGAAGTGTTCTAGCAGATGTTTTTAGTATGTTCACAGGGTTTTATAAGTGTCATTTCAGTCAACTTCAGAGCATTTCATCACTCAATAATGATGGAACTTTCTTATTTTGAACATGAATTACACAGATTGAAAGCATTTGATGTCTCTGAGGGGCTGAGGTTGACAAGAATGACTATCAAAATTAAATTGGAGAAGACATGTTATGGGCATTAGCAGGTTAAATTTTTGCAAGGCTTTAAAATATGTAGCCTAACTAGGCCTGGTGGTGCACAACTGCAATTCCAGTACTCTGGGAAATAGAGGCAGGAAGATCACAAGGTCAACCTCAGGCTGGGCATCGCAGGCAGTTTTGTAGTGAGACCCTCTCTCACAGGTGGAAAAAAAAGAGCTGGTGAAGTAGCTCAGGATGAAGGCCCTGGGTTCAATTCCCAGAACTGGAAAAAAAAAAAAAAACTATCTAACACAATTATTACAAGGATAAACAGATTCATTCCACATAAAGTTAGAGGTTCTTTGACAATTTTCCTCCTGCAAATCTTATGAATTTGGTTTTTAAAATGAAAGCTGAGAGCTTGGAGATGTAGTTCAGTCATCAAATACTTTCCTAATATTTATGAGACACTGCATTCAATTCTGTATACCCTACAGAGGGGTATTATGACTGATTTTTGAAATGCAAAGAGAAATATTAGTGTCTTCTAAATTCTCTCAAAGTATAATGTAAGTGCAATGACACTTACTTGGTTAGTAATACTAGTCTTCATACATTACATTTAATTAAAGTGGTTTGCTCCATTAGCAAGTTACCATGGATTTGACCACTGATATTTATCAGTGACCAATGAGTAACTTTTAGTCCACACAGACTATTTCCATCACAGTGAAAGGTCTATTGGACAGCACTGCTCTAGAGAACTAGAATATGGGGTAAACCTCCTACTCACCTAACTCACAACCTTTTCACTATTGTAGTTCCAAGTACCTTGACTGCTGTGAACCAAATTTTAGAAAATAATTTTAATATTTCTTTTTTTCTGCCACAGCCTTATCACTCACCTCTCACTCAAGTAATTATGTACCCACAAGCTTCTATTCCTCTGTGTGTGTGGTTTGGTTTTTTTGGTAGCACTGGGGAACTTGAACCCAAGGCATTCACACAGGGCAGGCAAGTACTGTAAAACTAACCTACATCCCAGCCCTTTTTGCGTCACTAGGTTGCTCAGGCTGGCCTTGAACTTGCCATCCTCCTGCCTCAGCCTCTAGAGTGTTGGGATGACACATGTGACACAATGTCCAGCTCTATTCCACGTTGGGGACCTTGGGACTTTGCTGTCAGGTTTTGTATTATAGGATTTTATGTAATTCACTAAAATTTACTCTATTTTGCATCTTGCTCCTCTAGATTGTAACTCACCGGGAACGGGGCAGGGAGTTTCATTGTTTGTACTCCTAACTTGCTTGGCACCGTGCCTCGCCCATAGTAGTGTGCTCATTTTATTGATGTGGCTTGATTTTGTCACCAAATGCTCCTGGGCCATCCCATCCCTCCCTTTCCCTGACCTCCCCCGTCTCCTTTCTTTTTCTTGGGCCATTCTTAAAACATGGAGTTACTACTTCAAGAAAGCCCTTTGCCACACCGAATATACATAACTCTTTGGTTAGGTAAAGGCTGAACATACAAAAGGTGCAGGTTTGGGACCTCAACGCTGGAAAGCCACTCACCTTGTTACCCAGGACTCACCAAGTGGTGGCTGCGCACTAGATGCCAGGCTGGAGGCTCCGCGAGAGTTGGGATCTCCGTGGGATGTGGGCGCCTATCGCAGCTCGGGTGAATGTCGCCCATTTAGCTGAGTTGCCCACCCTGAAGCACATGCTTGCAGGGGCATGAGGCACCTGGCATCAAGTACTAGCCGTGGGACTGGCTGCTTCAAACCTGGGGTGCAGGCGCTTGCCTGACCGCAGCTGGAGGGAGGCGGAGATCAGCACTGCTGGCCCTGTGGCAGGTGTGGGCCTGACTGGGAGAGGGTGGGCCGGGCAGCCTGCGATCTGAGTGCTCATCGTACCCCGTGCAATTTGGGCCTGGGTTTACTCAGAAGGGAGCGTCCCCCTGTCAGGGCTGTAGGAGGCTCCCGCAACCCGTCCTCCAACAGAATATGTTATTATTGTAACTACTGGTACTGCTGCTACTACTGTGATCATCATCATGTTGGCGAGGTTCCTCCCTGCATCCTCCCTGATGTCTGGATGGTGCTGATTTCTGAGAACTTTCTACGCTTGCTTGGCAACTTCAACCCAGAGGAGCCCACGTTGGGAGTTTGGAAAGCTGGATTTTTGTCCCAGCTCAGGGCTCAGTTACAGCTGCTGAGAAAGGGAAAACGCTAGATTCGCCTTTCGGGATTGGCAAACTGCATGATTTACTCAGGGTCAAGTCATTGTGGCTGTACAGATTGCAGCCCTCTTGCAAATGTGGCACGCTGAATCCCACTCATCTTACGCTGTGTTCGGTATCCATCTTTAAAATATTCTAGTGAGCTTCCTTCCCCTCTTGCAGCACTTCAGTTTCATGGGCTTTGGAAATCTTGAAAGCTTTCCTGATGTCTGCATAATTCTGACCACATTTCTCTTTTTACGCAGTTAGACCTGGAAATGTGACGGTATTAAACATTATTTTACCTAGTCCTTCTTAAGCACTCTGACTTACTTAGGAAAACATTTTGTGCATCTGGAATGTGTCAGTTATTGTATTAAAAAAGGGCTGCTCAGATCACTCTGAAAAGGGAACTGTTAAATTTCTAGGGTTATAAATTTAATATTGGCCTTTCCTCCCATCTTTACTGTCAGCTCACCATTCGGCAACTTGTGTTCTTAAAATCATTTAATCTTTGCCTCTTCTTCTTCATCTATAAGCACAGAGAGGTGAATACTAACTCTGTCACAGGGAGTTGTGAACATTAAGTGAGCTAGTATTTATAGGGCTTAGAATATATCTGGCACACAGTGAGCACTTACAGATGTTTGCTACTCTTTCTCTCTGTTTACAGTTGAAATTACCTCACTTTTGGATGAACAATCATTCTCATGCTAGTTGTCACATCTTTGCCTTTTTTAGTGAGATATTTCTTCTTGAATACTAACTACTGATAGAATGTCATATAGTTACAGGAAAAAATGTTTGCCCTTGGTATCTTGCCCCTTCCCTTGCTGCCATCGCTGAACTTGGAAGAGGGTGAAAGCATTTGCACCAGCATTAGTCTTCTGTGATTAAAGATGGCAGCAATAGAATTTTAATTGCGACTAATACTGGTAATTTGCACAATGATAATAGAATTTTTTTTTTTTTACAAGTGATTCTCAAGTGAAATGTAGAGTTTATAAATTAGGTTTCCCAAATTGCTAGTACTGTTTGATTGGTATAGACAATCTGGTCTTTCTGCCACATGTAAAAAACATAAATAAATAGTCCTTAAATAATCTCAAAAATTAAGTATTACTTAGATGGTATTGATATTTTGTCTTCATATGATACAATTTGTTTGGATTACAATAAATGTAATTTGCAAAGAAG